GAGGCACTTCAGACCTACCTGGCACACGTGGAACACAAGATCCGCGGAGGCGACGCCGCCGGTGCTCTTAAAACCGTCGGTCAAGCTCAAGACCTCATCAAGCGCCGCTTCGACGTCTTGGTCGTCGCCGACCATGCCGGGTTCGACGTGGCTGAGCGCTACCAGCTCCTCAAGACTACGGCGGTGCTCACCTCACGCTCCTTCAAGATGGCGGTGGCGGATATGGCAGCCCTCAAGCGTATGAAGACCGGCTTCGCCCGCGGGAGCCGTCCGTTCGCCGCGACTCCCCCCACTTCGTGCCAAAGACCATGGGCAGCGGCAACGGCTGTCGGGGCTTCAAGGGAACCTGTTTCCGCTGCGGCCAGAATGGCCACATGGCTAGCGCATGCCCCCATGGAGGCCATGGGGGCAATGGGCCCGCACCGGTGGTGTGAGAGAAGCCCCAAGCAACCTCGCCCTCCCATCTCCCCGCACCCAAGGTTCTCATACCTTGGCTGCCTTTGATGGAGGGTGGGGTGTGGGCTGGGCCGGGTGTGGACCAGGGGTCCTTGGTAGTGGCTGCTTAGCCAAAGCTAGAGGCATGGAGTGCCCTAGGCTGTTTGTGTACGTGTGTATGCGTGTGTGTGCGTTTTTACGCAAAGCCCGGGTGGCTATGAAGTTGTATTTCTAATTATAATGGAATGTTGCTCAGGTCATTGGCCTTGGAGATCCAGCCTATGACAAGTTATGTCACCAAAAGAGAGAGAGAGAGAGAGAGAGAGAGAGAGAGAGAGAGAGAGAGAGAGAGAAAGAGAGAGAGAGAGAGAGAGAGAGAGAAGGGTATGGGAAGGCAACGACCAACTCAATAGCATGAAAAGTCACAACGCTTCGCATGGCAAGGCATAGTGAGTTCCCGTGGCCAATAGTGCCGGTTGCTTCGCATGCAAGGCATAGTGAGTTCCCGTGGCCAATAGTGCCGGTTGTTACCAAGCCATCCAGCTGACATGCCTTGCGAGAGAGAGAGAAAAAGAGAGAGAGAGAGAGAGAGAGAGAGAGAGAGAGAGAGAGAGAGAGAGAGAGAGAGAGAGCGAGAGAGAGAGAGAGAGAGAGAGAGAGAGAGAGAGAGAGAGAGAGAGAGAGAGAGAGGAATGAGAGAGAGAGAGAGGGAGAGAGAGAGAAGAAGAAGAAAGAGAAGCGCGCGCGCAACGCGCATGGACCCTCGCTTGAACGGTTCTCACATTGACACCCACAAAGAGGGGTGATACATGTTGTATCCAACAGATTCTTAGCCGCACCTCACTCACGTGCACTCGCAACCTCATTACCCTTATCAAAACCACGAGGTGCATGTCGTTATGCGTGAATGACCTGCTCATACGTGCGCGCCGATACATTTCACGTAATTTGAACGTCATGGTTCGATCCTGTACCTCTGCCATCCCGCAACGAAACACCCCATGGCAGCCACAACGCCTTCATGGTCCGGGGAGCAGGACGAGATCTTGGCAAATGCGGTTACCGATCGTGATGTCACAACCATGGGTGGTCGCCTCCGACAGGCGTTCGCTTGGTGGGCTTCCTGGTGCGAGAGCTCCTTGATCCTGTCGGTCATTGTCAATGGATATTGGCTTCCTTGGAAGGCATTCTCACCACCGCCGTTCCGTGAGCAAAATCACGCCGGAGTCTTGAAGCACACCGACTTCACCCGATCGGCAATTCAGGAATTGCTCACGTCAGGAGCAGCAGCAGTTGCATCTAGCTCATCGGCCGTTACATGCATCAGCCCACTCAACGTTGTGGAACAACGCAACAAGTGCCGCCTCATTCTCGACTTGCGAAAGGTCAATCAATACCTAATTGTCCCCAAATTCAAGTACGAAGGACTTCTTCGTGTCGCTGAACTGGCGAAGCCGGGCGACTGGATGTTCTCGGTTGACTTAAAGTCTGGCTATCATCATGTCGATATTCACTCATCTTGCTGGTCATTTCTAGGTTTTCACTTTGAAGGCACCGACTATGTTTTCAAGTCGTTGCCGTTCGGCCTCGCTACAGCGCCCTTCCTGTTCACCCAGTTGATCAAGCAGTTGGCACGGAAATGGCGAGCGCAAGGCATTCGGGTCATACCCTATGTGGACGATATATTGTTCCTTTGCGACTCGGAACAGGACGCTCGTTTGAAAAGTGGTGCAGTCATTCGAGACCTCAAGGAGTCGGGGCTCGTCATCAACGCAAAAAAGTCGCACCTGATCGCGACTCAAAAATTGCACTTCCTCGGAATGGAGCTGGACACCGCATCCGGAAGGTTCACTATCGGCCAGGAGAGAAAGGCGCAACTCACACAAGCACTACATGTGCTGCTTCTCGCCTACGAGCGCAACCAGCGGGTATCAATCCGCCTCGTCGCCCGCGTCACCGGCATCCTTGCATCCATGGCGCTCGCCCTTGGTGCGACGGCGCGCTCTTTCAGCCATCAACTTTTGACACTCATTAATGAGGCGCCATCATGGAATGCACGAGTGACCCTGACCTCGGAAGTTCGCGACGAGCTACAATTTTTGTTTGACCACTTCGACCATTTTAACGGGGCTCCTTTTCACATGCCCCACAGTCTGGACACGGTCATTCACGTCGACGCTAGCGCACACAGTTGGGGTGCAACCCTTTCATCCTTCCCCGGCGGAAGCTCGCAAGGAAGCAGCCCCATGCCAAAAGAACTTCTCTCCACATCGAGCACACGCCGAGAGCTCGAGGGAGTGCTATGGGCACTGCAGACGTTCAAGGACCAGATCCAAGGTCGCCGCGTACTCATGCGAGTAGACAACCAAGGCGTCTTCTTCATTCTGCGCAAAGGCGGCTCTCGCCAGCCTGAGCTCACTCTTCTGTGCAAGGCCATCGTCGCAATTTGCATGGCGCACGAAACCCGTCTGGCCATCGAATGGATTCCACGTGCTCTCAATACGCATGCAGATGCACTGTCCAAATTGGAAGACCACGACGACTACTCGCTCAAGCTCCCCTGGTTTCGATTATTGGAAAGGCGTTGGGGATCACACACCATCGACCTATTCGCCAATGCCAACAACGCACAGCTCCCGCGCTTCTGCGCTAAACATCCGCACCCACGTGCAACTGCCATAAATGCATTCTCGCTCGATTGGGGATTAGAGCACGGCTTCGCGTTCCCGCCGCCGAACCTCATCCCAGCGACCTTGCACCATGCCGCACGCACGAACGCCACGATGACACTAGTCGTTCCCGAATGGACAGGCGCTGCTTGGTGGCCCCTAATCAGACCTTCCCCACACACCTGGGCAATCGGCATCTCCTCCATCCTCTACCTTGCTAGTGGTAGTCAATGCTTGCATGTGGGCTCCCATGAACATGCATTCTCGGGTGCTGGTCTTCCAGTCAGTCGTATCTTAGCACTGAAAGTCAATTACAAACCTTGATGGACCATTCTTGTATCCTATGATTACAGATATGCTTCCAAGGTTGCATCACCAGCTACTTCTTATGACAGCCAAGACACGATCGGAATCAACAATCAACACATACGAACCGTACTGGGAGAAGTTTCGCAGCTTTTGCATGAAGGCCAAAGTGGATTTCTTGCCTGCCGCAGATCTCACGCTTGCACTCTACTTAGTGCACGCAATCAACCACCAGGCCACAGTCTCCAGCGTACAGCTCACATGCGCTGCAGTCAGCTTTGCCCATCGCATGACAGGGTCAGCCAACCCAGCGAACGGCCCGTTCACAACGCAAGTCCGAGAGTACGCCAAACGACACTGCCCTCGGCCTACACGAGTGAAAGAGCCCGTCTCCCTCCATCAAGTCCAGGCAATGGCGGGGCCTTTTCTCCAGTCACGCGAACCCGGCACCTACCAGAAGGGCCTCATCGTGCTGCTCATGTACTCGGCCTTCCTTCGCTTCTCGGACCTGGTGTCCATCCAGTGGGAGGACATCCAGTTCGAGGCTACGGCAATGTGGCTCCTAATTCCGCACTCCAAAACCGATCAGGAGAGCAAGGGCGTATGGGTCCCCGTTGCCGCGACTGACGGACCATTCTGCCCCGTGCGGTGCACCAGGCACTTCATCAAGCTGGCACAGTACGGGCCAAAGACCAAAGGCCCGTTAATTCGTATTTTTCGACGCAACTTCCCGCCATCCTCGCAGGATACCGCCCCATCATACCCCACTGTCCGCACGTGGTGCTTGCAGGCATTCCAAGCAGCCGGCATCGACCCTACAAACCTCGGCACCCATTCATTCCGCAAAGGGGCAGCAACAGTTGCAGCGAGTACGGGCATCCCGGACCGCCTTTTCAAAAGACTGGGGCGATGGCGGAGCGAAACCGCGAAGGACCTTTATGTCACCATCTCCCACGATCACCTCCTTGCTGCGTCGCGGCGCCTTCACGATCAGGCGCACGTTCCGTCCCCCTCGCAGCATGAGCGTGCCCTTACTCGACACCGCCAACAAGCACTCACCATGTCTCAGAAAACCCAGTTGAAATGAGACGTTGCATTTGCAAAGACAAATAGCAAGCTTTCACAATATGTAAATTTTTGAAAGTGTGTAACACTTTCAAGAATTGTGTATTGTGAATAGCGAAGATATTTGTACCGAAGCAAAATGCTTCGGCGAACCGCTACTTCCCCTCTTTTTCGGTATAAAAGAGGGGGCGAAGGCCATTTGGCCTTCACCCACGTTTTTCATTTCAAACTTTCAGTTTTCAAGTTCCCCACCCTCCCACCCTGGTATAGTAGAGAACTCATCGTTGTTATTATGTAATATGCTTGGACGATAAAAAATCTTGTACTTGCCAGTTGAAATGAGACGTTGCATTTGCAAAGACAAATAGCAAGCTTTCACAATGCATGATTTCCCCCACCTTCAAGCTGCCTCTCACTCCACACACCATCTCTTGTTCATTAACATCATCCCGCCTTCCAACACCCGCATGTCACTCCTCCCTCAAGTTTGTCGCAAACGACCCGGCTCCCCTCTTCGCATGCGCCTCACAACGGACCTCCCCAGAGCAAGCGCAGCCACAATGCCAGCCAAACGCAGCAAATGGCCTCCTTGACTGTGCAGCCGCCTGCCCCTTCCCCTCCCCACACCACCCGATTCGCCCCGACCCTGTGAACCCATGCTCCCCAGTCCCCTCCCTTCCTCCTCCCCCTCATCTCCTCCTAAGCCCTGCCCCATGCTCTCCCCAAAAATGTACCCCGTGCCTTGCATTGAGCCCTCGTCACCACCTCCTTCCGCACCGCTCTGAACACCACTTCTGTCTCTTTCTGCCTCCTCCCTGCGTCCACCCCGCACACCCTGCTCTCCATCCCCACCTCCCACGATTCCCTCCCCCTCCTGCTGCTCCTCCTCATGCTCCCGCCTCCCTTCCTGCTCCTGCCTCCGCTGCTGACCTTCCTGCCTCCCATCGGGTAGCCTCTCTCTCTGCCGCCTCCTCTCCTGCTGCTGCGCCCCCTGCTGCTGCGGTTCATCCTCGGGTTCACCTTCTCTTTGCCGCAACCCCGCTTCCTCCCCCTCTCTCAACTGCGGCCCTGCTTCCTCACCCTCTCTCTGCCGCCGCCCTGCTTCCCCCCCCTCTCTCTCCCGCTCCTCCATTCGCTCCCGCTCTCTCTGCTGCCGCCTCCGCTCCTCATACTCCTCATCATCAGTGGGCAGTTCAAACCGGCAAATAGGGCACGAGTTTCGCACAGCAAACCACTGCCGAATGCACCCGCCGTGGTACAAGTGCCGGCACGGCAGCCTCACCACCTCCTCCCCCACCTCCGCCACCTCCTTGCACACCGCGCAGCACGACGCGCCGCTCTCCACGTCCTCCAATCGCACGGCGACAGCTGGCAGCGCGTCTACCGCGAATAGCGCCGCTGGAGGGTTACCGCGTTGCTGGGCTAAGGCAGCATCTGCAGCAACTAACTGGTCAAGAAAAGCGTCTAAGCCAGGGCCGTCGAGATAATCTCCTCGGTTGCCGAACTGTCCTCGGTTGCCGAAAACAATTGTGGTGGTTGTGACTCCGTCTGAATCCGTGGTAGCACCACCCGTGCCTGCGAAGCCAGCAGGTTCGGCAGCGGCAGGTCCGGCGCCCCAGTGTATCCGAGCCTCGAACCCAGCCCCGCCAAACGCCAGCCCACCAGCACCACCACCACGGACACCAGCACCATAGAAACCACCACCACCCCCCCCACCACCGCCAGCACCACCACCAGCACCACCACCAGCACCACCACCAGCACCAGCACCAGTACCGCCAGCACCAGCACCGGCACCGGCACCACCACCGGCACCAGCACCAGCAGCAAGGCTGCCGTCAGCATTGACAAGCCTGCCGCGGCGAAGGCTGAACTCCACGTGAACGGACGGCCCCACGAGCTCCTGCATGAGTTGCTGCAGGCGCCGCTCCAACCCCACCTCTAAGCGCAGCAGCGCCTGCTGCTGGGCTGCTCTCAGCCGCCGCAGCAGCCCCGCCCCCCTGTCCTCTGTGGGCTCGGCTACGAATGCTTGTGCCTCTGACTCGCGCGCCTGCCTCTCGCGCACTTCTCGTTCGAATAATTCTCTCTCGGATGCTTCCCTGCCCGGTGCTTCTCCTCGCTCCCATTCCCTCCTCTCTGCTCGCTCCCTCTCGCCCTGCTGCACGGCAGGAGTTGCTTCCTCGACCTCCTGAACAGGTGTCATGGACACTGCCGCTGCGCCTTCAAGCCGTGCCATTTCTGCCGCTTGTGCTGCGGATAGCGGTCCTGACAACAATGACGCAGACGATGCTGACGTGGATGATGACGACGACGACGCTGCTGCTGATCCTGTTCCTGCGGCTGCAGCAGGGGCAGGAGATGATGACGTGGAGGATGCAGGAACAGCCCTCTGCAAGTTGGCTCGACCTGAACCCCCCTCCCCCGCTTCCCTCCCTTCCCTCCCCTCCATCCCCTCCCTTCCTTCCATTCCCTCCCTCCCCTCCGGCCCCTCAAGCCCCGTAACATCACCTCTCAGACCAGTCCCTGCCACATCCCCTCGCCTCACCCCTCGCCGTCCGCGCCTGCCCCGAGTGCTGTTGTTAAAGCCAGACGCGAGCCTCTCAACGCCCATGCGAAACAGAGGCACGCGCACCCTCCCTCCCACATGCTCCTCCTCCTCATCGCTCCATCCCCCTCCCCTTCCTCCTCCCCCTCCTCCCCATCCTCTTCCTCCTCATCCTCCTCCTCCTCCTCCTCCTCCTCCGCCTCATGTCCTTCGTCTTCCTCCGCCCCTTCAAGGCTAGACCACGAGCCTCCTATTTCCAGCAAGAGACCCTCCAGTTGTCTTAAAGTGCTAAGAAAATGATCCGCCGCCCAATTCCCGCGGTTCCTGCCACCTCGAATTCGATTCCCTTCGTCCCTCTCCTCCATCTCGTCCTCGCTATTGTCACTCTCGCTGTACTCGCTACTGTCGCTCTCATCGTGCTCGTTATAGTCGCGGCCCATGACGCCCGCGGTCTCATTCTCCCTCGTCCACCACCGTTCCTCTACCTCGTTCTCCTCGTCCTCGTCGTACTCGCTATGGCCACTCTCGCTAATAGCACCACCATCGCTGCCGCTGGTAAGAGCTGGCAGTTCATCCTCGCTTGCTGCCGCTTCATTATGAATCGGAGGCCTCGTTTCAGGCACACCCGTTTCTGTCACACCCATTTCCGTTACACCCGTTCCAGCCGTACCCGTTTCAATCGCACCCGTTTCAGTTACATCCGGTGACGTGCTCGTACGAGGAGATACAAGATCCGGCAGTTCATCTTCTTCCACTTCCCCTACTGCTGCTCCCCCCGCTCCAATCACACCCGCTACTGTTGTCGTCACGGCGGTATCGTTGAACCACAGATTCTCTTCAGCCGTACGACCGTCCTGACTCTCATACCGCTCTTCACCCCTGACCGTCTCCCCTTCCTCATCCCCGCGAATTTGATCCCCACCGCCTTGATCCCTAATTCCCTGATTCGCACCGTCTTGAATCTCGTTGTAATCACAATCTTCAGGGTCGCTGCAAAGGTCCGGCATATCGTCATCGTCGTCGTCGCCTTCAGTCGCTTGAAACCGAGGTTGCGCTTCGGTCACAAAGTTTTCAGTCACACCGTTTTCAGTCACACCCGCTTCTGATGCTGCTGCTGGTGCAGATACTGATGCTGCTTCTGATGCTGATGTTGAAGCGGACGCTGCTGCTACTTCCCAAGTATCACCCCGTTCAACCCCGTTATTGTCACCTACACTTTCGTCATCATTTCTTCCACTCATACGCCTCTCGAATCTTCCAGAAGCTCTCTGTAAGCCGTCCATTCTTTCCCGAGGAAAATAACGCGAGGAAGGAAGAGCTACTTTCCCACATTAAGTGCACTGCCAAACCGCTTCCTACACGCTAAGGCAACGGTAACAAGCGCTCGGAATGTTCCGGACGGTCACTTTACTAGTCGACGACTAGGAGAAACGATGGACATATGAAACAATTTGAGGACGTAACGCACCGCATATGACGAGGAACGTCGATTCTTTCTATGTCCGTCGCTGGGATGGGACCTAGGGGAGCAGCCGCGTCGCAATAGCCTGCCAAACCGTATAGTAACCATTTGCATACCTGTGATTTGTACACCACCGTTTGAAAATGCTCTTGTACACTTGACCCGCAAAGCTATCTTGAATCCGTTCAGGAACACTAGGCTGGTCACCGCGCTGAAATCCTCAGCACCGTTAGCTCAGTTTTGATCAACCCCATAATTCCATCAGGCTAGTTCTGCAGAACCTCCTAACTCTAAAGCCTCCTTCCAACTTGATGCCAAACAATTCAAACCGCATCTTTCTACATATTAAACACCAGAAGTGCAAAAATATCTAAGACTATTTTTTTATAATAGCTTGCGTATTCAGCCTTTGATGTGTTATAGAACAATGTACAGGATAAACGTTCATCCTGTAATACTATTGCACATTCGCACTATATATCTGAACATATTTGCACCTGTTTCAGTCCATTTGCTTCCCTGATCTTGTCGAGTCGTTTTCGGAAAACCAAATCTGCCCGACCCAATGTGATGATGAGCCCCGGTTGGCCCACGCCAGCTCATCCTCGCCATCGAGAATCTCATCCAGCCCATTTTCGCTGCGATGGCGACCATCCAGGGCCTGTGACAGCGTTCGCGGTAGCCCAAGATTATTTCGCCACTGCCCTTCGCTTATCGTGCGACTGTCCGTGCATGACGCCCAGCGTGCGAATGCGGGCAGAACGGGCAGAACGGATGGGTTTCACTGTCAGCGGCTTGGAGAGCGAAACCAAACCCTCGCCACGTCCTTTCGGCACGTCTCGCGGGAGTCCTTTGAAACCCTCGCCGCAAGTGCGAAACCCTCGCTAGCTGCTATCCACCTCTCGCCTGTCCCTCTTTCTGCTCGTCTCGGACAGACTGAAACCCTCGCCAACCCTTTTCTCCCCTCGCCAATCCATTTCTCCTTCGCCTGGTTCTTTTGACCCCTCTTTCCCAGCAATCCTTCATTTCGCCTTCCTTGTTTCTTTCTTTCGCGTAATCTCTCGCGCGTTTCGCCCACCTTTCTCGCCCCAGCCAGCGAAGAAGCACACTCCTGATTCACGCTCTCCCCCCTACTCGCCCAACCTGGCGTCGCTAAACTCAGCCATGGCGATTCGTTTCTCCCCAGAGGAGCTCAAAGGGGAGCTTCTCAGGGTGAGACGTGAACTCGCTCATTTGGATACGCTTTTGGATCGGACTTTCAGGGACATAGAAGCTGCGAGTGAACATGGCGAGAGGGACCGCATGGAAGATGCGAGAAATGTGCGACAATGTCTGTGGAAGGACAAGGAGCAGCTGAGGTCACAAGAGACTATATTTCTGAGGCTCTTATTCGATCCAAATTCTGTTACTGGAAATCCTGCGGAAAATGGAGCACCGTCTGCGGGCGCTGGCTTCCCGCCTCAATACTCCGTTGATGGTAAGGCTTCTTTCCGTCACCTTAGCTGATCTGTATTTGTCTTTTGTTGATGCTTTCCAACTATTCTGGTTCTTGAAGTGTGCAATGCCATTATTGTTCGCTACGTGGCGCTGATTATTGTTTGTTTCTTACTTTTTTTTTTCTTGCGACAGGTTCGCCGATGCCGATTATGGGTCATGGAGATCCTTCGCGGATGCTCCACTCGGTATTTACACCGCCGATGCTTGGAGTTAAGCAGGGAAAGATGAAGATGCGACGCAACAAGCTCGCTTCACCCGGCCTGCCATCGTCCATGTCTGACGGAAAGTCTCCATCTGGTTTTGAATCCGACTTCGCTAATCCGAATGGTTACGAAGTCAACCGGAGTGCGGAATGCAAAGTCCGCGACGTCTGGCTCGAATGGAAGGAAGGGCTGAATGGTTTCCCGTCGATTGAGAAGCTTGAAGAAGAGAGGAAGAAGGACCGGAAGAAAGTCTGGTGGAAGAATATGAACGACTACAAATACTGGAGCAAGCAGGTCGGTACCGTTGTCCGCTGTTCGTTTTGATCCTGGATTTCTAACCGTTAACACATCGTATGGAACTATCGCTTTGTACATCTTTACTTATTTCTTTCCCTGATTCTGCAGATGAGGATTGTTCACGCTGTCGAAGAAAAGGCTCGCGAGCTTGGTGGGGATCTTGACTCCAGCATCAATTTCTGGGAGGACATTCTTCGCGAGGAGTTCGACGGAAGCGTCTCGAAGCTTCGCGAAGCTTTAGGAGGCCAAAAAACAAACGAAGAAGACATTGGCCGTTTCAAGAAGCGATGCCGGGATTTGCTGCAGAAGGGTTTGCTTCGAATGGCTAAGAAGAGACAGATGACGCACCAGCAGTCAGATCAGCATCACGCTCACCAGCAACAGGCCTTGCATCAGCAGCAGCTGATGGAAATGCAGCAGCAGACTTTCACCCAAGCTGTTCAGGGCGACATGGTTCACATGGCAGGCATGGGTATGCCACACGATCCCAATGTTCTTCCGAAGCATGAAGCCCAGCACGAAGTTTCGCAGCAGCAGGTTCTGGAAGAAAACATGTTGCACGAAGCTGCTGCAGCTGCTGCAGCAGCAGCCGCGGCGCAGGGTCAGCTAGATAACGGCGTGCTGCTTATGCAGGAAGCGCATGGGCTGCAGCAGCATATTGCAGGTGAGGGTCAGGCGGTGATGCAGGCACATGGCGAGGAGCAGCTAGAAGACGCTCAGGAGCAGCTGCGTCAGCAGCAGCAACAGCAGCAAGAGCAGATGCGGCAGCTGCATGAGAATCAGCTAATTGCTGCTTCCATGCATGCTGCCCAGGCGCATGCTGAGGGGGAGGAGGAGCATGGGGAAGAGCAGCACGGGGAGGAGGGGGAGGAGCAGATGCATGGGGATCATGGAGAGGTGGAGGAGGGTGATGAGGAATTAGAAGGGGAAGGTAGGGGGGAAGAGGGCGAGGGGGAGGAGGAGCATGTGTAAGTCAGGGATGGTGTGGTAGGTGCACTGCTGGTGCCTTGCATACCTTCTCTCTCTACTACCTAGATATAGTACTCTGTTTTGTGTGCGTTTTTCTCCAAGTAGGAAATAGTGGGAACAAATATTGGTACAACAATTGCTCTGTACATTTCAGAACTACCTGTGCCTACTGGTAGGCAACAGTGTTTGGTCCTGTGCTAGTAAACAGTAAGCTTGATGCACTATGGCTAGCATCTTCGTCTTCACCAACTGTACATCATTCTAGACCATTTCCCAACATTTTTCGCTGCTCTGACTGTTATAGCCTCAGCCTGAGACAGGAGACAGGAACAGGAGGCAGTAGAGCTGGACCGACCAGGGGCTGGAGAGAGAGGAAGGACAAGTTCTTGAAGGCCTGGGGATGCTGTACACTAACCTAGCGTGCCTCTTTCAATATTCCCCACACATCCACGATTCCCGCCGGGAACGAGTGTTCTGATGCTGCTCTGACTGCAGCGGAGGCAACAGCCGAGACCGGAACAGGCGGTACTAGAGCTGGGCCGATCAGGGGCAGGTGGGAGAGGAAGGGCAGGTTCTTGAAGGCCTGGGAAGGAGAACGGGGAGACAGGGGAAGAGACAGGGGAGTGGGGCAAGGGGAGAGGAGGATAGAAAATGTAACAAGAGACAGTAGTGCGAACCATTTGTCAGGCTCGGGGCCGGGGGTTAATGAGACAGAGAGGCTGGCAGCAAAAAAATGTCGAGGCCTGGAAGCACTCTCACCAGTTCCAAGAAGCTCCGATCAAGCTGAGAGGCAGCTTGCAGGCGCCAACATTGCGAGCGCCGTGAATCATGGCTGGCCGGAGGACTACACCTGGAAATGATTCCCAATAGACTTTGAACAGAAGGAATTCAGGAGCCTAAGCGCACTCTCACCAGTTCCAAGGAAGCTCCGATCAAGCTGAGAGGCAGCTTGTAGGCGCCAACGTTACGAGTGCCGTGAATCATGGCTGGCCGGAGGACAACCCCTGCCACGATCCACCAGGCATGAGCCATGAGGCATGGGCTATGTTGCACGAGGCTTAAGTTTATGATGCATGAGGCATGGGGCATGAGCCATGAGGCATTGGGCATGGGGCATGAGGCATGGGCTATGATGGATGAGGCATGAGCCATAAGCAGGCGCATACCCGTGTTAGGGTAACTTTCCATGACAGCTGCTTCTGCCGCTTTCTGAAGAAGTGGGGACAAGTGGAGGAAGGGAGGGAGGGGGAGAGGGAGGGGGTAAGACAAGTGCTTGCTGCATGTGCAGTGTACTTTTGTTGATTAAAACTGTAACTTGATTTGCAGTGTACAGCAGCACTGTACGTTTGCATTGTACACTTGCACTGTACACTTGCACTGTACACTTGCACTGTATACTTGCATGGTACCTTGCCCTCGTAATATCCCCTGAGAACGAAAGAAGGCAGCCCCACGTCATGAGCTGAGATGAAGACAAACCTCGCCACACCTGCCAGGGACCGAATAACCGAAACGATTATTGAGGTGCCTACAAGTAGGATAGCCCCCACAGAGAGAAAGCATATACACTTCAAAATGGGAACCAACAATCCCATTGCTCATTTGCACCAAGAAAAGGAAAACCATGTCTTTGCTTCCCTCCTGCTAGACAAATGCTGCCTTCCCCACTAGCTGCCAGACCAGCACACCTTCCTCTCTTGCTGCATTGACCACGCCCACGTTGGCATCTCTGTTAATTCTCCTGATCCACTCATTCGACCCAAAGGCACCCAAACACGACAAAGCGACTCTGAACTCAACCTGTGTGATGCAAGTGATACCTTCCCTCCTAGGTGCAAAACCAACCAACCTTCATCCTTTGCCGCGTTCACCACCCCAACGTTGGCATCCCCATTAATCCTCCTCATCCACTCCTTCGACCCAAAGGCGCCCACACACGACACCTGCCCATGGGACAGGAAAAACAGGAGCAGTGAAACAGGAATATATGAATGCAACAGACAGACCAGCAACTTGCTCTCTGTGTGCTTTCGTCCTGACCACTTGCAACGGCACTACAGGGTATCTCTCAACTACCCATGGCCACTCACTCACCACTCCCATGACTCCTTGCAAGTTGACAACACAGCATCAAGATGCAACGAGGTGACTTTTGAGTCGACTCAAAAGTTGACAACACAGCATCAAGATGCAACGAGGTGACTTTTGAGTCGACTCAAAAGTTGACAACACAGCATCAAGATGCAACGAGGTGACTTTTGAGTCGACTCAAAAGTTGACAACACAGCATCAAGATGCAACGAGGTGACTTTTGAGTCGACTCAAAAGTTGACAACACAGCATCAAGATGCAAAGGCCATCCCACTCACCACTCCTGTGGCCCCTTGCAAGTGCTGCTTCCACGAAGAGGGGTTCAGGGCGTCGCCTGGATGAAAGAGAAGGGTGACAAGGGGTGGAGAGGCGTGAGAAGCAGTAGTTAGAATCAATAAGAACACCGGTTGTAAGGCAATGCATGACTGACAAGGGTCCAGAGAGGGATTGCTAAGGGATTAAAGGGAAGACGACTTGAAGGTAGGTAGCAATTGAGGAAGAATGGGTGTTGGAAATAAAATTCTCACCTTTGATCCACTCAACCTCTCTAATCCATGCTTCGCTGCGACTGGGCTGACCTGATCTGACCCATGCACACGTGCACACATGCACACATGCACACGTGCAATCATGCACACATGCACACATGCACACATGCACACATGCACACATGCACACATGCACATGCACACATGCACACATGCATACATGCACACATGCACACATGCACACATGCACACATGCACATGCACACATGGCCACATGCACACATGCAATCATGCACACATACACACATGCACACATGTACACAGGTAGACATGCACACATGCACACATGCAATCATGCACACATGCACACGTGCACACGTGCAATCATGCACACATGCACACGTGCAATCATGCACACTTGCACACGTGCACACGTGCACACATGGCCACATGCACACATGCAATCATGCACACATGCACACGTGCACACGTGCAATCATGCACTCATGCACACGTGCACACGTGCAATCATGCACACATGCACACGTGCAATCATGCACACATGCACACGTGCACACGTGCACACATGGCCACATGCACACATGCAATCATGCACACATACACACATGCACACATGTACACATGTACACATGTACACATGCACACATGTACACATGTACACAAGCGCATATGCAGAAATGCACTCACGCAAGAATACATACAAGCCCACATGACGAACCACAAAATCGAAGACAAGAACATTTTAACTACCAAATTTTACGAACGTTCACTCCACACACCCCCCTCTCACTAAGCCGCACCCACTCTCGCCGATTCATACCCACCCTCACCGATTCCCACCCACTCACACCGATTCCCACCCACTCACACCGATTCCCACCCACTCTCACCGATTCACACTTGCCACCTCAATTCCCCGGCCAATGGCGTTGCGACAGATGGCGCTGCCCACGAAGCCATTGCCACCCATCACCACAATCTGACGGGGATGGGGGAGGAGTTGAGTGGGCGAGGAGTAGAGGAAGGTGTGAGGGAATCAGGTGGGGTGGGGGAGAGGGGGGGTGAGTGAGGAGGTGAGGTGGGAAAACTGGGGGAGGTTGGGGAACATAAGGTGGAAAATTAGGAAGGTTGCAAGTGGGGAAGGTGGTACTGGGGGAATGATGTTGAAGAGCCCAGGCTCAGAAAAAAACTCCTCGCCACTCAGAAAATTAATCCGCACTGACTTTCTTAGTCAGAATCGAAAGTCATCCCGGAAACCACGCTTCGTCGTCCTCAACATTAACTGGCAGGCGATCAGAAAATCGAAAGAATATCTGCCTTACCCGAGCCTGTTGCTCCGTGGTGCTTCTTTCCGATTCTCTCCTGCCCAGCTGCGCCGCGCGCGTGTTCCTTTCCCCGCTAGCCCCTGCGGAATTTCCTTCTCCCGACGCCGCCGTTCCGTGAAACTCGCGGGTTCCCGCCGCGGCTGTGACAGGCGGTACGCCGCCTTCGGCGCCGTGAAACGCGCCGTGGTCAGCGCTACGCGTGCTAATCGAACCAGCCGCGCCGATGGCTCGACAAAGCGAATGACTCAATGCGATCGCCTTGCATGAGCGCGCACAAATCACGGCCATCCTCTCGCTCGCAAGCGAAGGGTGAAAAACTTCACCTTATGAGAGAACGAGGAGGACCTACTAATTAGCACTTCAAAGCCACAACAGGCTGAATTTCGGAAATCATGAACGCGTGCAAATTCTTTTTGCAGAGGCAGTTCTCACAACTATAAGATACTTCGATAAGAGTTGCAAGTCCATTCTCACAAATGCGCCTCGTGTGTATCTTCTACCCACCGCTGCAAACTGATGTGGACGATGTTGATTGGAGCGGCAATTGATGGCTGATGCGGGCGATACGTGGCGCTAAACATTGTCCGCGATTGACACTTGCCGCGACGGAGGATCTACCGAAAAGGTTTATTATGCACAAAGATATTAGGCTTACCACCTGCCTTTGTAATCAATCAGCCATTTTTTTCTAGCCGCAGCATACATTGAAGGGAATACAACATATGCACTGCTCTTTATCATAAAACTTCGCCTTCCACTGCATGCCAACAGCCCCTTACAAAAAGAAAAGCTTGTGAGCAGGATTCTTAGTAACGTGCCAGCCTATCTCGACATTCTTCAGATGTTGCTGGGGTAGAGGAACACACGCACCCTTCGGCCCTGTTCACCCAACGAAAAAAAAGGTCGGGCAGGTGGGAAGTGTCATGGGGTTAGGGAAGTGTGACAGGAAAAGTAGAACCCGACTCGACCACTTAATATTACCCGCAGAACCCAGCCATGAATGCATCAATAGCTTTCCGCTTGCCCATGGCAGTGCAGGGCAAGTTCTTTACGAATTTGGTGGCACAGGCTACCTTTCCTGACAGCAGCTCCAACCCCCCACACCCAATCCCACACATCCCAACCGCACCCAACCAAGACTCATCATGGCAGTGCAGGCAATTTGCCGCGGACCACCCCAGTATTGCCATGCGGGCGCGTGACACGGCCCCACACCGGTAAAGGCTGCCGGTCAGCACGCTACTACACCCACACCCAACCCCACCCATCCCAACCGCACTCCACCGCAGCAACTCACCGTGGCGGTGCAGGGCAGATTCTTCTTGAACTTGGCGCGGACGACCCCGGTGTTGCCGTGCGGGCGCGTGACGCGACACGGACCAGTTCAGGCTGTCACATCACACTCCAACCCCCATATCCAACCCCACCCATCCCAACCGCACTCCACCGCAACTCACCGTGGCGGTGCAGGGCAGATTCTTCTTGAGCTTGGCGCGGACGACCCCGGTGTTGCCGTGCGGGCGCGTGACGCGGCCCCACATGGAGCGGCAGAGGGAGCCGTTCCTAACACTTTTCTCAACCCCATACCCAACCCCAACCATCTCAACCGCACTCTACCACGACTCACCGTGGCGGTGCAGGGCAGGTTCTTCTTGAACTTGGCGCGGACAACCCCGGTGTTGCCGTGCGGGCGCGTGACGCGGCCCCACATGGAGCGGTAGAGGGAGCCGTTCTTGAGCGTCTTGGCCTTGTAGATGTAGACGATGCGCTTGCCCAGGTACCACTGGCTCTCCTCCTTGCTCTGCACGTTCTCGATCTGCAGCAGCGACGTGTGCTCGTGCACGTTCGACTTGCCTCTGCGGGAGAGAGGAGTGGATGAAGGATCAGCGGACGGAAAGTGGGGAGGCGGGATGTCCCGGGATGGGGTGGGGTGGAAGGGGAGGGGGGGGAACAGGGTAACAAGGAAGCAGGATGATTTGCTCGACTTCCCTCTACGGATGGGCGTGGGAGAGAAGGCTGGGGAAACAGGGAATGGGAGAAGAAGTTTGTAAGTCGAAATAACACGTCAGCTCGTGCCGCTTCTATCTCCCCTCAAGAGCGAAGCGTAGAAGGGAGGGGTGCCGGAGGTGGAGAGGGGTGGAGGTAAGAGAATGGTGTAAGGGCATGGATTTGACCTAAATTCGTGGTTATTACGGCCTTGCGGGCCCTCGAAATACACAATATAAAGAGTAGAGGTTCGGCAACTCTATACCCACTGTGGGACCTTGTACTGTACTCGATATAGACAACGAGCAAGGATCTCACCTCTTGTGGCCCAGCACCACAGCCCGCACGTAGAGTCTGCGATCGCAGAGCACAATGCGACAAGGGGGGCAGAGGGGGAGGGAGAGGGGTGTGGACGGGTAGAGACGAGACAAAACGCGGAAGATAAAACGGTAAATCGGTGTGATCTGCACAGATAGAAATAGATGCTTTCGCAAGGAGAAAAGCCTAAGGTGTCCAGAACGGCGTCGCGACCTGAGCATACCCTCAGTTATGGTCAGCACAGGGAGTGAAATCTTTGATTCATCTATTAAAGATAGACGTTAGAGTTGCTACATGGAACGAAAAGGGGGCGCAATAACATTGAGAGAAACTAGGGTTTCCACAACCGTCGGGTTGCTACTCCCATTGCCTAGTGCCCCATAAGTCCATCCAGAAGCTGAGGCTATACGACGCCTGCTTGCGGACCGAATCTTCCAGCAAGGCGGATCTCCTGTGCGACACTGCGGACTAACGCCGGAGCTTAGTAACGACGAATGCGCACGACGGAAAATTGTGCTGTAAGAGCAGCATCACTGAAGGTATTCGCCATCTAGGAAAAGACGCAGCTTCGTACGAGTGCTTCGAGAGGTCCCGTCAGCTGCTGGGTGACCTGAAATGACCTATTCCCAGCACCTTGTACTAAAGAATCTGGATGATAATGCCTGACATCGACCCTGAAATGCAAAACTGCTTCCGATTTGAGGCCTGCGAATCTCAATTAGGAACCCTGGATCCATCCAGCTGCTTAGACTACATTTAGGTCAACTCATCACCATCTGCGTCCATCCCTGGAACTAAAACATATGTACCCTGGACCGATACGACTTGAAAAAGTCGGGAATCGACGCTAACGTCTTCGCGCCAGGGGACTATTTGCCTAACGAATAATCGCTCTCGCTCCCCCAAAGAACGACCTGCGGTGGCGAAACAACTACTGCGAAAATATATTAGCTTCGACAAATATGCATACCGTGGGGAGTTCTCCTTCTTCGTCATGGCGCCGTGTGTGGTGTGAGGGAGACGGACTGCGAAGGAACGAAAGGTGCGCTAGGGCACAGCTAGGCAAACCAAGAGTTAGGGAAAAGGAGAGAGGAAATGGAGGTTCTTAGACTAAAACCCTCGGAGAGTTGTGAAGAGAGCGGCGAAGAGGAAGAGGGGGGGAGGGGAGGGGAGACAGGAAGGAGGTGTTGCGGGGATGGCGGAACTGGGGGAGAGATAGGGGGGGGATGCGGAAGGTTGGCCAAGGTTGGAAGGGAGGAGCGCTGGCGGGGGAAAGGTGGCGGAAGAATTATGACTGGCGATTTGGGGAGGCCTTGGAGGTTACGGGTTGGCTGAGCAGCGGTGTAGAAGGCTTGGAACGGTCTCGTAGCGAAGACCCAAGTATCGGAGCATCAATTGACATCTGAATATATTTTGATATTGTAATACGAATATCTAAATAATTGCACTCTACCGATAACGAACTGAGTAATAATCGACAATTCTGATCACATCGCTGAAATCCATGTCACTGCCATGTGTCGAAACAGCTGCTTCGGATGACGTGATTGACATGTCAGTGACATATCTGCCCTTCGAGGACGCTACAAACCTCTCACATCGCGTTCCACAACCGTCCGATCGACCGACGTGGAAACCGCAATGTAACCTACTGTAGCGCTCCGCGAGAATCGCGACATCCGCAACCTTCCGTCAGTCACCTGACGAAAAACACAAACTTCTTCGCGCGATTGTAACTGAATCTCGCCACAGATTTAGTTTTTCGATGAGCCCAATGCTGATCGATCGGACATCCCTGACCAGAGATCCGTTTTCTAGGGGAAGCAGAGCAGCTAACCCAGGAATCTCCAATTCGAGGTCTATTTCTTCCTCTGGTCAGTTTTCCATTTACCTCTGGTCTGTATTTCTTCTTCCTCGATCCAGATTCCTGGCCAGTTTTTCTGTCGCTCCTGCTTTTTTTGCTGATTCTCAGCCTGATCTTGGCTCTGAGCTCCGTCTCTCTTCTCTTTAATTTCTAAAGAGATCTATATAAAAGCAGACATGGGTGTCCTCGCAGCTGTCGCTTCTTCCACAAACGTCGCCGCCACTGCAATGGCGACCAAGATCTCCGCCAGCCGCGCCGCCTCCGTCGCTGCCGGTGCTGCGAAGATGCTCCCAACTGCTCAGTTCGCGAAGCTCGCGAAGTCATCGTTCGCCGGGCAGTCCCTGGGCTGCGCGGTCGCGAACGCTGACGTGGCGCTGCGCGCCGAGCCCAGGGCCAGGAGCGTTGTGACGGCTGCAGCTGACGGCGACGCTGCCGTCGCCTCCGCCGGAGGCGGCCTGCGCATCGATCTCCGCGGTGCGTGTGTAGGCCGGCAGGCGTACGAGTGTAGATCCGCGAACATACAAATATAAAATACGAATAACCTAGTTTGGAATACAAGTAACGACCGTCATGGCTGAGAGCTGGTGTCGTACTTCTTGCTTTCCTCTTTTTTAAAATAATGGAAAGTCGTTTCAGGAGATTTACAAAATGCTTGTTGCTTACATCATGAGCTGTTTAAGCAGATATGGAAGCTTCCGTGCCCAAACTCCCTGTCAAGAGGCTTGGCGCTTTCGTCGCTCCACTCGCGGCCAGGGCATTGGGTGACTCTTCAGTTGAACGACTCAAAAAGGCAACCCCCCTCGTCTCCCCACTTTCCCCTCTCTTTCCCTTTTTCCCCCACTCCCCTCCTCCCCCAACCCATTCCCCTCGTTCCATCCCCGCAGGCAAGCGCGCGTTCATTGCGGGCGTGGCGGACGACCAGGGCTTCGGGTGGGCCATCGCGAAGCACCTCGCGGAGGCGGGCGCGGAGGTGCTCGTCGGCACGTGGGTGCCGGTGAGTCGCTGGTGCTCTCTAGATCGCATTGCACCGCATAGGACCGTATACTGTCTGTCTTTTGTGCGCCCAGAAGCACCTGGCAGAGGCGGGCGCGGAGGTTCTCGTCGGCACGTGGGTGCCGGT